CCAGACCCGAAACGTCAGCTTTCCTGCTCCTCTGATGCTGCTTGGCCTGCTGTGTTCATCCAGCTCTACACCTTGTTATCTCAGATTCTCCAGCATCGGCAGTTCCTACTATCTCTGAAACAGGCTATTCCTGATGTTGAGCTAGACATTGCTGGACTTTTCACACAATTCTACCACATTTCTCACTATTGCCAACATCATTCAGTTCCCTGTAAGATTTCCCCTCCAACTTTTTATAAGACTCAGCTTATTGTGTTTTTGATGCTGCCAAAAGTGGTAATAAGGAACACTCGAGACGGCAGCAGGGTAAGTTGCTCCATTTGGACCTCCACTTTGCTCGCCAGTTCCCTTTCATTTTTGCTTCTTTTGCTCTTCCGTCTCCTCTTTGCAGTAATTCTATCCCATTCCCCCCACCCCAACCCAACCTGCCCTTTAACTAACTTCCTAAAGAGTCGGGAAGGCGTCGGATCGCAACTGGGAACCACATGGCGGGAGCTGAATGTGCGGGCCGTGTACTGCAGCGATGGCGGATCAAGAATGGGCCAGTTCAGCGGGACGAGCAAGCCGGTGAGGCAGCAGCGGTGAGAGCCGGCTGATGAAGCAGCAGTTGGTGGCGAGAACGGTGCCTTTCGCTTGGTGGCGGCGGCCTCCTGGGTGTCCTAGTGATTAGGGTGGTGCCTGTACCATTGTGGAGATGGGACTTGGGACTCTGAGATCTGGACATTTTTCTCTTGCTTGCCTTTTGGCTCTGTTAAAATCTTTTAATTCTGGTTTTGTAACCAAGTATGTAGCAGTAAATGGCGACTTTGTGCACTTTTCACTGTACTTGTGTATTCCTATACTTAGTACGTGTGACAAATAAATAAATATTAATTAATTAAGTCACGATGCTCAGGTATAAAGATACATAAAATTTAAATTCAGTAATACATTTATACTGTCTAGGTAGTTTGCGTTTAAAGTACTTTGGTCATGATGCTTACAGTTGAAGTACTAAATTTTAAGGTAAGCAATATTCTTAATGGAAGCAGAAATGAAAAAATAATAGATTCTAAGTGGGATGCACCAGGGATCAGTGTTCATGTTATTACTGTGTTTGGTGTACATTTCAGACTGATTTGGTAAATTATGCAAATGAAATCAAATTTAGGAGATTTAGTGAGTTGAAGTAGACCATTCCAAATAATGTTGAGTTGGATAGAATATACCAGTGAGTAAAACATTGACAAGCAACGTTGAATACAAATACACAAAGTACTCTGTATAGAAAAGAAATGTGGGAAGTGTGTGCACTTCCTGAATGGTGTTAAAATGGACAAGGATTAAGCATAAAGAGACTTTCAATCTCCAGTATACTTCTGTATAGTGTTTAATGTACTTGACAGCATCATGACCAGTGGTCAGAACCATAAAGTACTGTGAACATTGTAAAATTATAATTCTAAGTGTATTTTTAATAAGTGTATTTTCAAAAATGGCTACAGGTATAAAATAAATGGCATTCTGGACAGAGAGAAACGTAGGGAATTACATACCTACGAATATGAAAGGAACTACAAACAACAGTCCTATGAAGGAACAAAAAGGCAAAACAGATTGGACTGTGACCTTTTGTGGCTACAGAGATAACGAGGGCTGATGATCCCTTGTTTAACATGAAGGCACCCCTTGCGCCATATGTTCCAAACTGCAAACGCATTTTGTGTTTTCCCTTTGAACACAAAGGTAGGGGTTAAAAATCGGGTTTCATCTCTACTGGAATGTATTAGAGGGATTGAACAGTCTTGTGTACCAACAGGGGTTTAAGCATTAGCATGCTATGAAGTCAAAATCAAATAAATATCCCCTTGTCACTGCTACGTTTCAGGTAAAGACCTGATTTCACTTCGTGTGTTGCAAACCAGACAAAAGGAAATAGAACAATAAAAGGACTTAGTCTCTCATGCTGAATGCTGGAATCAAATCCCAGTCAAAAGTAATCAGAATTGTAGAACCTCAACTAATATCAACTTGACCAGGAACCTCCACTGCAAATTTCCACAATGTTCAACTATCTGATCCTTGCAAACAATTCAGTGACAGATCTGCATATCTATTCTTATTAATACTTTTGGATTCACCGCTTATTTCTAATATGTATGTTGATTTAGTAATTATTTTCATAGTTTGTAATAAACTCAGCTAAATTCACTTTTTGTTCAATAAAGCGTGGTTAAATTGGCTCCATTTAAAAGATAAGTTCATTCGAGTGTGGGAGAAAGATATCCACAAGGGAAGGAATCCTTTCTTGCAACCAACCAATAAGAGGAACTCGTGCATCACCTGAGAGCTTAACTGTTTGGGTGAAATCGCATCTGAAACTGAAACCTTGGTCTGGTTGTAACAATGATTGACATGCTCAAACAATGCAGTCAACACAGATGTTTATTTTTATAATTTATTGACGGGTTGAGGCTGTTTCTAAAGTTTTTATTGTCCAGCCCTAATTACCCAGAAGGCAATTCAAAACCAACCACATTACTAAGGGTGTGGAGTCACCTGTTTGTGTGACCAGGTAAAAATGGCAGATTTTTCTTCTGAAAGCATTCTAGTGAATCAGATGAGTATTGGCAACAATTATCAGTGTCTACTGATCACTATTACATAGCTTTCTAATTCTAGGTTTTTACAGGATTCAAATTTCACCGCTTGCTATGATGAGAAACAAAATCATGTCCCTCAGAACATTAGTTTGGCGTTCTGGATTGCTGCACTAGCGACAGTACTACAACGCTACCACTCACCATTAAATTATATAACCAAGAATGTAAAATAGAAATCAAAAGAAACCAATTATGTTATGCTCTGATCACATCACACTTTTAATAGCACGTTCAATTCCAATCATCATGATGCACTGGAAATATATTGAGATATTGAAACGATGCAGGCACTGCACTGATGACCCTCAAATTAAACCTTAGTTTTAGAGATTCGAATTATGTCTGACAAAAACTAGTCTTTTCAACGCTGACAGGAGGCATTTGAATGGTGATCTTATAGAGGTCCATAATGTTGTAAACAGTGTGGAGAAATTTAAACCACACCTCATGTAATTGGTTCAAATTAGTAAAGGGCTTTATGATTTTTGTGATATGTCCTGAATCCTTCAGAAAGTTGTTTGGTCATGGTTGTATCTTGATCTCAGTTAAGAGAATATTTCCTATTAAATTCAATGCAACTATCTGTTTGAACTGAATTATTTTGTTTTGAGTCAGTCTCTGAATTTTTAGTATAGCGTAGTTATTTCAAATGGGCTTCAGGTACATCAATAATCAAAAACTGATAAGGACATATTTTAAAGGCAACATCCTATCCTCTGAATGACGGTGCAGAAATTTTGCACTGCTGCTTGATCTTTGTAAAAGTGTCCACCATATGAATAACCTGTGGACTGCTCGAATTGCAAAACAGGTTCATCAGCATCAATAAATACAACAGAGTTTAACTCTTTTTTTATATAGGCCCTTTGTCAAAATTTGAAGATATTCAACACCTTATAAATCTGAACAAAGCAAATGGGAGAGTAGGAAAACCAACAGAAGTCAAAAATCAGAATGCTGACTCGTCGTGAAATTTAACAGATAGATTTAGTTAAAAGCAGACACATTTTTAGAAACTGAAACATTAACCATTATTTTCCTTGACACACATGCTTTAACTCTTCAGTATTTGCTGACTATTTCTTTTTATTTGTCATCTGCAGATATGTTGTCTGGAACATTTGTCATCAGTAAAACATATTCATTATGTTGTCTCCTTAAACCCTTGTGAAGCTGTTTGGGGGATAGACATATGACAATGGATTGTTAGAGAGCTTTTAATTTAAATTGGCCCTGCAGTTTTTACAATATATTTATTTTGGAGCATGGAACCTTATTACTGATTGATTTTGTGTCAATAAAAATAATTTAATTGCATTCCACCATTTCCTTGTCTGCCAGGGTAATTCCGGCCTGGGATTCAGTATAGCTGGAGGCACAGACAACCCTCATATTGGAGATGACCCTGGGATATTTATTACAAAAATTATCCCTGGGGGAGCAGCAGCTGAAGATGGACGGCTAAGGTAAACTCTTTGAATTTTTAACAAATATAAGTTAAAATACTCTAGTATGAAACCCGAATTGCAAACTTTGAGTCACAGACTCATAGAGCAATAGAGCTGTACAGCATGGAAACAGACGGTTGGGTCCAACTTGTCCATGCCAACCAGTTATCCTAAATCAATCTAGACCTATTTGCCAGCATTTGGCCCATATCCCTCGAAACCCTTCCTATTCATATACCCATCCAGATGCCTTTTAAATGTTGTAATTGTACCAGCCTCCACCACTTGCTCAAGCAGCTCGTTCCATACACACAACATCCTCTGCATGACAAAGTTGCCCCTTTTAAATTTTTTCCCCTCTCACCTTAAACCTATTCCCTCTAGTTTTGGACTCCCCTACCCTATTTACCCTATCTGTGCCCCTCAAGATTGAATAAATCTCTATAAGATCACCCCTTAGTCTCTGATGCTCCAGAGTACATAGCCCCTGCCTATACTGCCTCTCCCTATAGCTCAAACCCTCCAGCCCTGGCAACACCCTTGTAAATCTTTTCTGAACCCAGTTTCACAACATTTTTCTTGTAGCAGGGAGACCAGAATAGCATGCAGTGTTCTAAAAGTGGCCAAACCAATGTCCTATACAGCCACAACGTGACCTCCCAACTCCTTTACTCAATGCACCCCATGAACAAAGGCAAGCATTCCAAATGCCTCCTTCACTTTTCTGAATTCCTGCGACTCCACTTTTAAGGAACTATGAACCTGCACTCCAATGTCTCTTTGTTCAGCAACACTTCCCAAGACCTGATTTGCCTTTACAAAATGCAGCATCTCACATTTATCTAAATCAAACTCCATCTGCCACTCTACGGCCCATTTGCCCATTGCTTTGTACTCTGAGGTAACTTTCTTGGCTATCCACTATACCCCCAGTTTAGGTATCCTGATTTGCCTTTACAAAATGCAGCATCTCACATTTATCTAAATCAATTTCCGTCTGCCACTCCTTGGCCCTCCCGTGTTGCTCTGAGGTAACCTTCTTGGCTATCTACTATATCCCAATTTTGGTGTCACCTGGCAATTTACTAACCATATCGCCTATGTTCATATCCAAATCATTTGTGTAAATGACAAAAAACAGTGGACCTTGCACTGATCCTTGTGGCACACTGCTGATTGCAGGTCTCCAGTCTGAAAAGCAACCCTCTGCCACTATCCTCTCTCTCCTACGTTCAAGCCAGTTTTGTATCCAAGTGGCTATTTCTCCCTGTATTCCATTTCACCTAACCTTGCTGACCAGTCTACCATGCAGAACCTTATTGAAGTCAATATAGATCCGGTCCACTGCTCTGCCTTCAATCCTCTTTTTTACTTCTTCAATAACCTCAATTAAGTTGGTGAAACATGATTCCCACACACAAAGCCTTGTTGACTATGCCTAATCTGTCCTTGCCTTTCCAAAATACATGTAAATCCTACTCCTTAGGATTCCCTCCAACAACTTGCCCACCACCGATGTCCGGTTCACTGATCTATAGTTCCCAGGCTTTTCCTTACTACCTTTCTTAAATACTGGCACCACGTTAGCCAACCTCCAGTCTTCCGACACCTCACCAATGGCTATCAGTGATACAGATATCTTAACAAGGGACCCATCAATCACTTGCCTAGCTTCCCTCAAAGTTCTAGGGTACACCTGATCAGGTGCCAGGGATTTATCCACCCTTTTGTGTTTTAAGACATCCAGCACCACCTCCTCTGTAATATGGAAATTTTTCAAGATGTCACTATTTATTTCCCCAAGTTCTGTAGCTTCCATTTTATTCTCCACAGTAAACACTGATGCAAAACATTCAGTATCTCCCCCGTCTTCTGCAGTTCCACAGATAGGCAGCCTTGCTGATCTTTAAGAGGCCCTATTCTGTCTCTAGTTACCCTTTTGACCTTAATGAATTTGTAGAATCCCTTTGGATTCTCCTTAACCCTATTTGCTAAAGCTATCTCATGTCCCCTTTTTGCCCTCCTGATTTCCCTCCTAAGTATACTTCTATTGCCTTTATACTTTTCAAGGGATTCACTCAATCCCTGCTTACATATGCTTCCTTCTTTTTCTTGACCAAAACCTCAATTTCTCTAATTATCCAGCGTTCCATACATCTACCAGCCTTGCCCTTCAGCCTAACAGTAACATATTGTCTGTGCACTCTCATTATCTCGTTTTTGAAGGCTTCTTAATTTCCATCTGTCCTTTCACCTGCGAACACCCGCCCCCAGTCAACTTTTGAAAGTTCTTGCCTAATACTGTCAAAATTGATCTTCTTCTAATTTAGAACTTTAACTTTTAGATCCAATGTGTCCATGTCCATCACTATTTTGAAACTGATAGAATTATGATCACTGCCCCCCGTCCCCTCACTGACACCTAACTCACCTGCCCTGCCTTATTTCCCGAGAGTAGGTCAAGTTTTGCACCTTCTCTACTAGGTATATTCACGTACTGAATCAGAAAATATTCTTGTACACATTTAACAAATTCCTCTCCATCCAAGCCCTTAACACCATGGCAGTCCCAGTCTATGTTTGAGAAGTTAAAATCCCTTTCTGTTACCACCCTATTAGTCTTACAGATAACTGAGATCTCTTTATAAACTTGCTTGTCAATTTCCCGCTGACTACTTAGGGGGAGTCTATAGTACATTACCAACAAGGTGATCACCCCTTTCTTATTTCTCAGTCCACCCAAATAACTTCCCTGGACATACTGCCTAAGTACAGCTATAATGTTATCCCTAATCAAAAACACCAGTCCCCCTCCTCTTGTGCCCCCCTTTCCACCCTTCCTATAGCATCTATATGCTGGAACATTAAACTGCCAGAACTATTCATCCCTGAGTCACGTTTCTGTAATGCTATGATATGCCAGTCCCATGTTCCTAACCATGTCCTGAGTTCATCTGCCTTTCCGAACAGGCCTCTCAGATTGAAATAAATGCAATTTAATTTATCAGTCCTACCTTGTTCTTGGCCTTGTCCTTCCCTGCCCGGACTGTTTGATTCGCTCCTTTTCCCAACTGCACCATCCTCAGACTGGTCTCTTTTCTCACTATCTCCCTGGTCCCTTTACTAGCTTAAATCCTCCCAAGCAGCTTTAGCAAATCTCCCCGGCAGTATATTAGTCCCCTTCCAATTCAAGTGCAATCCATCCTTCTTATAGAGTCGCCTCTACCCCAGAAGAGATTACAATGATCCGAATATGTGAATCCTTCTCCCCAATACCAGCTCCTTAGCCACGCATACATCTGCCCTATCCTCCTACTCCTACTCTCACTAGCTCATAGCACCAGGAATAATCCCGATATTACTGCTCTCGAGGACCTACTTTTTAAATTCCTGCCTAATTTCCTATACTGTCTCCTCAGGACCTCATCCTCTTCTAGTCCTATGTCATTCATTCCAATGTATACAACAATCTTCTGCTGTCCCTCTCCCCTTTGAGAATATTCTGCACCCTATCCAAGATATCCTTGATCCTGGCACCAGGGCGGCAACATGCCATTCTGATGTTTCACATCCACCGCTCTGCCTTCAATCCTCTTTGTTACTTCTTCAAAAGCCTCAATTAAGTTGGTGAAACATGATTCCCACACACAAAGCCATGTTGACTATGCCTAATCAGTCCTTGCCTTTCCAGAATACATGTCGGTGCTATGTTCCCTTGACAGCCCATCACCCCCTACATTTTCCAAAGCAGCATACTTGTTTGAGATGGTGATAGCCATAGGAGACTCCTGCACTACCTGCCTACCCCTCCTACCTTTCTTGGAGGTAACCCTTCTACTTGATTGAATCTGTGGTTTTTCTCCCTTCCTGAAACTGCCATCCATCACACCCCTTAGCTCCTGTAAATTCCTCATTGCCTCTAACTGCTGCTCTAACCGATCCATGTGATCCAATAGAATTTGCAACCAAACACGCTTCCTGCAGACATAATCATCAGGAACTTTGAAATTTTCCCTAATCTTCCACATCTGACAGGAAGAGCACATCATTCTACTAAATATCATCTTTGCACCTTAACAGTCTTCAGAACCAGAAAATCGCATAGTCTTACTGCTCTAAAAATACTGTTCCATAATAACTTAGAATCTGTGCCTTACATTTTTAAAGTTCAATCAAGAGACAGATCTCAAAAAACGAATAATCCAAAAAAAAACACTCTACTCACTATTGCAGATGTACTAAAAAAAAGTAAGATTACACTTAACCATTAGCTGCTCCCCCATTGTGAGGTTCCCGCAAAGGTTTCTCCAAGGTCAGTTGTGAATTTTACAGTTTGTGTATTTTTATTAGAACAAACTCTGATGTCCGGAGATACATCAGAAGCAGTCAGCTTGTGCATGTTCTCTGCTGGGTCACACAGCTGTGTAGGTTTACTGCTCGTTATTTCGTCTCCCATGTGGTATCTTCTTTCTCTCCCTCCTTTTTTACAGTGCTGTCATTTTGATCTCTTTTTTTTCAAAGTTCCAAAACAATGTAACAACTTATAACTGCTCCAAAAATTCGAGGAACTCAGCTCCAACACTGAAAATACCTCAAAAAAGAAGCAGCTCTTACAGCCACATTTTTTTTCTCTTCCTCCATCTTGGATTACCCAGGGGTAAACTATTTCCCAGAAGCTTAGAGACATTTGGAGTGATGTGGAGTTTGAAGTGTTTACTGAAAACAACCCACTCAACTAATTTCAAATGTCGACCAAGCTTGGAGCACCAGACACCAATGGCTGCTGAATTTGCACAGGTTAGGCAAAAGCAGAGAAAATACTGATGCTCTTAATCAGAAGACTGACCACGGGAGGAAATCTACTCTGCCAGGCTGTCGGAGACTGTGGCTGATGCCATAGTCTTGCCCCAAGTCAAAAGCAGCACTCTGCTGGGCGCTCAGACTAAGATAAGATCCAATGAGTTCTGGACAGGCAGAATCAGGTGTGGTTTTGCCTTTACCACTGATTTCAAAACAGGACATCGGACACTGTTGTGAAGTTGGGTAGAGTTCTTGTGGATTGGGAGGCAGGAAGTTAGAATTTAGTGTTTGTAAAATGCGAGGGGGAAAGCATTGCGCAGTCCCTTTAAAAGATTATGTGCTTTTTCTGTGCTTAGAAATTTAAAATGGATGCCTGTGAGCAGCAGCTTGAAAGTTTGCAAGTACACAGAGACCACCCGAATTGAAATAATTTTATTGAAAGGTCGTACAATTAGCAGCACAAGCAGCAGTTTTTTTTTAACAAAGACAACAGGATTAGCTAATCAATTTGGACCAGGCACTTAGATACTAAAAACCAATTGAATTTAAATCTGATGGTTTTGACAACATTGGACCAATCCTATTGGACAAAGTTCCAGAGCTAGTTGCCATCTGCCAGAGATAACGGCCCTCAGCTCTTAAGAGAGAATCGCTTGCTCTCATTGTCTCCTCTATGTCTTAGGGAAAGCACAATCTAAATAACAATGGTACCGCCGGCACAACTAGTTAATATTCCTGACAGAAGAATCGATGGAGAAGGCACAAAACATTCTAGAAGACACGTAACCTAGCTGTAATTTCAAGAGAATAAATTCTATTTTTTATATAAGTGGGATTTGTATTTATTGAAACAGCGTACCATTATAATCTTACATTATTCGGGAATAGTTAGTAGTTAGATTTATTTGGTTTATTAATAGTTTAGTTAATCTGTTCACTGTTAGAGTTAGATAAATAAATTGTTATTTGCTGATTAATGGTGGAACTTGGCCAGATTCCACAAAAATGACTGCCTCTGGAAGTGTTGTTCCTTGTTATTTTTAGCCTTAACTGTCTGTTTGAAGACACAGCTTTCCGTTGATTAATCCTTAAATTGTTCTGCAGTGCAACCCTTATCCTTTGTGGCAGTAAAACATACAGTTTATTAGCAGGTGTCAAAGCAATTTTGTTCGTGTTCCCTTCACTCCTCCTTTACCAGACATGGCTAATTGCTTTCAATTTCTGTAAAAAATTGTCCTTGTCCTTTAATAGTTTATTCCAGACAGAGTTATTGCTGCTGCTTTCCATGTGTTACAGTTTGTCTTTTGTTGATTTAGTTATTAAAGTTCCAAAGTTTACATTGCCAGGCCAGCTGTTGAGGGAGTCTCAACCAGCGCAACAACAGTTGAGGCGAAGGCAGAGGATTTTGGAGGAGACATGAGGTCTCTGTCGGCTGGTACGTGACAAGGGGAGAGAGATGAAACAATATAGACTTCCCAACAGCCTCAAGTGTCAGTGTTGGTAGCAGTCCATGATCAAATAGAACATCAAATGACAGAAAATCAACTGCTCTGACCAGGCAATGATGTTACTGGTCCAGGAGGCTTGCTGATATTGATAATACTGTTGAAATTGAGAGGCGTGTACTTTATTTAAAACCGATAATGTATTTAATTGGCTATCTCTATAACTGGGAAAAACTTTTTTTTAATGTTGTGACTAGTGAAGTTGAGGGATTAAAGCAATGGTGCACTGCTTTTGCCTCAGTCATTACAGTTTAGGAATTACAGTAAAAAGGAAAATTAAGGGAGGTAAACTAATTCAAGCCAAACAAAATAAATAATGTGAGAGAAAAACAACATTCGAACAAAGGGACAAGTTAGGGTGTGTAACACAAATAAGATTATTTTAAAACGAATACAGAATGAATAAATAATTTGTTGAATTAATTACAGGTGCAAATTTAATTGGATTGGCAGCCACTATGGCTTTGAGGCAAACAGGCATGAGGATTGAATATACCAGAGTATAATATCTACAGGAAGGTAGAAAAATGGAAGAGGTGGCATGTAAAGTTAGTGATTAAGAATTAAGATGAAAGACAATATAACGAGAAGGAAACAGGCATCAGGCTTTATCTGGGTAGAATTTAAGAAGTAAACTTCCCATACGTGTTGGTATGTGCTACTTGATAGCAACTTGAAATTGGTAAAAAAAGGCATTAATATAAAGGTTAGACAATCATGTATTATGGGTAGAGTGGTTTTAATAAGCAATTTTATTAGCTTTTGCCATTGCTAGTTACAAACCTGTATTAAGAATAATAAAAACTCAAAAACTGCCTTCCTAGCCAGTTTATATGAGTTAATAGAATTTAAGTGTTACATTGCTGTGGAACTAATTAAAAAAATTGTGAATATATTGCTTTACAATAAGGAATGGTAATATTACAGAATATGACAGTGCCATTTTCCAGCCATCTCTCAGCATTTTTTTTGTATTTTAGCCATCTGATATTGCATGTGTGGCTGATGATAACTTTTTCTGGTGACCTTCACCAGCTGGGACTGTTTGAACAGTGTCTGGCTTAGGTTTAGTTCTGGTCTTCAGTTTGGGGAAAAGCCTATGATAAGGTGGTCGTCTTGCTAATCTCTCCTATTTTGGAAAAAATAAATCACCTTGTTGCGAGTTCAAGGCAAAAAGCATTTGATTTTTTTTGTGAAAGAGTGATTAAAGGACCATTTCAGTATAGTAGTTCCTGGAATATATGGTAATCCTAATATGTTTTGTTTGACAAAAAAAACTTTCAAATTATTCAGTTGAACTTATCTTTTTCCAGTTATATCTGACAACACATACTGGATTCTACATACAAGATAAATGAAAATGAATTTTCTTTTGATATCTAGAGTCAATGACTGCATTTTACGAGTGAATGAATTTGATGTATCTGAAGTGTCACACAGTAGAGCTGTGGAGGCCTTGAAAGAAGCTGGTTCAATTGTACGACTGTATGTGCGTAGACGAAGGCCGATTTTGGAGACTATTACAGAAATAAAGCTCATAAAAGGACCTAAAGGTAATCTTCATTTAAAATGAAAACAAATTAAGGAAAACAATTTAGAAATGAGATGCTGAAGCATTACAAATGGAATATGTTAAAACTTGTTGAGTAATTTAAATTTGCTTTTTCTGTGCAGATCAAATGTGCTAAATTTGGTTCTTAAGGCATGTAACCTTAGAATATACGTACTCATTTGTCACCTCTAAACCCCAAATGTTTGTGTTCAAATTTTATTGTTTTTTTTTAAATACTAGCCTTTTCTGAGAGGATGGAATATCTCTGTTAAAGGACATAACTGGAAGATTTATTGTGTTGATATTCTAATTAAGATCATTCACCTTTTCAGAAAGTTAAATAATCACTTAACGTTGTTTGAATTAAATCCATTTTAGATTTTATATGTCAAAGCTACTCAAATATGTTAGTAATTTCTGTGTGTAAGTTTAAAATGTCTACTACATTCTTCTGGATGTGGCTTCCAATTCATTCTTCAGCTTAGTTTATCTATCTCTGAGCTCACATCCAGTCTTAACCAATCTAGCACAGTGAGTATCAAAAGTCAACTGACGTACATTGAACACGACTTCTTTTCCTCTTTGTAAAACTGAATACTTTATTTTAAACCATCCAAAGCAATAATTATCAGCAAGTAATTTTTTAAGAGTGTGGTTATCTTTAAGTGCATAAGTAATCTTTGAACTATAAATGTATCAACAAATATACTGAAGTTGAAGTTGTGGCCCTGTGCCTGAAACTTGTGAGATACTCACTCTCAAAGTTATGCCGATAAAGGTGATCTGACCATTTGTACATGTGTAGATGTTCATGACCAGATCCTAATGTAATCAGTGCTTGGTGATCAGTGTAGAGAGTGAACATTCTGCTATTTTGATGCATGTGCCTACTTTCACAAGAATAGATGCAGGCCAGCACTTCCCACTCTCTAGTAGAGTATTTATGTTCAGTTTCTGACAATGAGCAGGATGCATATGTGACTAGTCATTTGCTTCCCTCAATGTACTGCAAGACTACGCTCCAATAACTTTTCTTGGCTCATTTGATGTGACATTAATTTCATCATATGGGTTGAAATATGTAAGGACTGATGAAGATGCTATCTTTGCCTTTAACATGCCAAGCACTCTTTGCTATACTGATGTCTATTCCCATTGCACATCTTTCTGCAGTAGCGTCCAAAGAGGTTGTGTGATCTCTGCATGTTAATATAAACAAATTTGTGATAAAAATTGATTGTACTGAGCCACTGTGCCAACTCTTTCATGTTGGATGAGATTGGAAGTACATGAATGTCTTTGTGGTTGACATGTAGACTTTACTCCAGTTGTTCTCACTCTGTACCCTACAAAGACAATCTTGGGTTCATGAAAGAGCTTTTGTCCTTGCTAAGCATCGAATTACATTGTGTGATTCTAGTGAACACCATTGTTAACTGCTGCTCAATTTTCCATTGTACCAAAATTGTCAATGTTGACTATCCCCTCAGCCTCTGACAAAACAGAAAAATGCAATCTTCTAGAATGCAGTAGGTGTTGAACTTAATCCATAGCAAATTCTGTGGTGCTGAAATACCCCTTCATGAGTATTAAATGCTGTAAGATATTTGCTTTATCTGAAGACAGTTGCATCACATTCCAAGCTTTCTCAAGGCTGTGGAATCATGAAAATATGCTAATATTTCTTAGATTGTAGGAAGAAGGTGCTTGTCTTCGGTCATAGCTCAGTTGACTGTCTTAAGGTTAATGCCATTTTTGCACTGTACAAAGATTAGATTTGATACCCTTGAGGATGAATCAATTTTTTAAATAATAATCTGTTTCTAGATGTTTAAGTTCCTGTGACATTTTGCCATGTATTGTAAATGACATCTACCTCAACTATTGTAAAACTGGTGAAATTGTTGTGTCAACATGAAGTGCATGACAGTGCTCCCCGATCTCTCTATATCCAGTAAATAACGAAGGATACCAATGTTTGTAGTCTATATCATCAATCACGTCATTGTATGCCCCAGTCAGGTCTTCAAGTTGGAATCCAATCCTATTGAAAAACTTTATCCTCACAAGGTGTCTGTCTTTAGCTAGGTAGAATATGAATCTGCCTAAGATAATGGACTGAATTTTCCCATATCTGGCTAAGTGTCAATGTTGGGAAGTTTCAGAGAGAATATCCCACCATAAGATGTAAGAGCAGAAGGAGGCCATTCGACTCATCGTGATATCACGGTTGATCTGTCCAACTGCTGATCTTCAACTCTACTTCCCTGCCTTTTCGTAGAATCACAGAATTTTGCAGGATAGAAGGAGGTCATTTGACCCATTGTGACTGGCTCCCGAGAGAGCTACCCAGCTAGTCCCATTTTCCAACCCTATCTCCATAGTTCTCTACGGTAATCACTTACAAATATATATCCAGTTCTCTTTTGAAACTTCCTATGGACCCTGCCCCCATCACAGGCAGTGCATTCCAAATCCTAACTACTCTTGAGTAAAGACTTTTCTACTCATCTCACTCCTAACTCTCTCACTGACAGTCTTGAAGTTGTGACCCCTAGTTACTGACATACCAACTAATGGAAACAAAATGTCCTTCTTTACGCTGTCAAAATTGTTCTTGTAATTTTGAACACCACAATATGGTCACCTCTTAATCTTCTCTGCTCCAAGAACAATAATCCTAATTTCTTAATCTTTCCTTGTATCTGTAACTCTCCCTCATTCCTGATATCATTCTAGTAAATCTCCTTTGAACTCACTCCAGGCTTTGACATCCTGCCTGAAATAAAGTGCCCAGAACTGAAAACAGTACTCCGAATGTAATCTGACCAATGATTTGTAGAGGTTTTCCTCATATCCTCTGATTCTCCTACTGATTAAACATTTGTCTATCTCAGTCTTGAATATACTAAACAATCCAGTCTCTACAGCCTTTTGTATTAAAGAATTTAACCGCTTCACTGTCTTCTGAGGGAATAAATGTCTCCTCATTTCTGATTAAATGGGTGACCCCTTAATCTGAGATTATGCCCTCTGGTTCTAGACTCTCCCACAAGGGGAGATAACTTCTTAGCATTTCTACTGTCAATACCCCTAAGAATTATATAATCTGGCAACTGCTCAGCCCCAGACAGGAAAGGACTGTGTGGTGTCAGCATTTGGAAACATAGTGCAAATGCATAGGAGTAGCTGGCAGGTTTGTAACAGACACTTGGTAAACTTGCTTTTTTCTGATGAAGGGTCTAGGCCCGAAACGTCAGCCTCTCTGCTCCTATGATGCTGCTTGGCCTGCTGTGTTCATCCAGCCCTGCACCTTGTTGTCTCGGATTCTCCAGCATCTGCAGTTCCTACTATCTCTGGATGAAATGTTGGTTGAGTCTACCAACGTTATCAGTACTGTACTGTGACTGGCTTACATGCATTTGGCTATTTCCATCGACAGGTGGCGGCTGCCATGGGAAGCCACGTCCACCAGAACATTCAGTTGCTGAAAATGTACACAGACCTGATCGCCATCACTTTAGCAATTGCTACTTAGTATCAATGGCAAAGCAAGAGGGGTCGAGGGATCAAGACTTCATTCCAAGTCCCCCATTCTCTCAAGGAAATAAAGTGGTGCCAGCCATATACCGGTCTGTCCTTGCAGGACAATTCAGATCCCTTAATTTCTATCCTGCCTGCGATCCCAATCCCTGTGGAAATTTCAGACAACGTGGATGAGCCTGCATCTGGCCAGGATACTCTCAGCATATCTGGACCTGTTAGAAGGCATCTGGTGTTGATGGCCCTAATCTGCAGGGCCAAGACACTCTACTGCAGAGTAAGATCCCTCAACTCTAGGTGCGAACCCCACTATTGCATTTAGACATAGAAGGTGGGCAAGGAAGAAGAATACCATTAGAGGGATTATAGGTGGCATGGGTGATACTGCATTTTAAATAGACTCTCATATCTGAACATATGCACTTTGACCTGTTTCCTCACCTGTTTGATGGTCATTTTTGCTGTAGGACAAGTTCACTTGGAGACCATGTCAGAGTTAAACTATATCTTCATCCACCCCAAGGAGAATAGATATTATAATAGCAAGGATTGGTCATCTCTGAGAAGCATCTTAAGTGGCTACAGGTTTCACATATCTTTCAATCTTTATGTTAATGACTGCAGCTTAGACTTGGTACTTTGGTGCAGAGATTACTGATTGAAAAATTAGTGGGAAGGTCTTGTGATGGGTCATTGTCTCCACTCACATTTGACATTTATGGTCACTTTGTGTTCAGAAGAATGGTCACTAGACTTTAAATGTTAACTCTGTTTTCTCTCCCCAGATGCTGATGAGTTTCTCCAGCATCGTTTTTTTGTTTAAAAATGAAAAGGTACTGGGGCTGGTAAACATAAAATACTCATATTCATCTGTTTTGCCAATTTGTTGTACATTTTATATATAAATCTATGCAGAAATGACAGTATATTTAATGTGTGTTGCAGATTTACTCACAGTGCTTTAGTTGTCTGCTACATGCTTGTTCTGTATTCACTGAGCCCGTGCCTGGGCATAACCAGTCAAGCGTAGTGAGAATGAATGGTAAAGACACCAATCAAACTTTGAACAATTGAACACTATAAAAAGAACAACTTTGCAATTGCCAGTTTATCTAACTGTCTTTATAAGTGTTATTTTATCTGTCACCTTTAATCAAAAAGTGTGTTTTGACTTGTCATACAAACTGCAATGTGACTTATCATTTATGCTACCGCCAAAAAAGAAATATAGAAAGAAATAGAGATAGTAGGAACTGCAGATGCTGGAGAATCCGAGACAACAAGGTGCAGGGCTGGATGAACACAGCAGGCCAAGCAGCATAGATATAAATAGTCAGGTTTGATAGTGCGTACTAGATTGTAATTCTTTGACATCCCCACAAGACTTTTAATAATATTCATGTGCTTTAAAATGAAAGTGGGAGAGAGGTCACACACAGGTTCAGTTTTTGTTTTAAA